AAAAAAACTGTATGTTTATTGCAATTTGTCACAACCATCAACAGCTTTGTAACCATTTTCATAATCATATCATATAATTCAATGATATTTATTAGTGCCTACATTTCTTAAAGGGCTTTATTTTCCTAATAGTTGGTATTGATCCATGTTACATGTTCATATTTATAGTGTTTGATGATGGAATGCTTTTTTGGTAGCTTAGCACACATATAGGGCATTAAAGGCAAATTGAACTAAACCCTCAGCAAAACTAGTATTTTAGTTTTGGATGAAACTAGTGTTTTAATTTTGGGTGGACTTGTTCTTCCCCATAAGTGTACAGGGTGACCGACGGGAGTCAGAAGTTTTTAGAACAGGTAGTACAAGGTAAGCGGTGATGGGAGGGGGAAGAGCTAGGTGTCTTTTCCCCCCACTGGAATGCCAATTCAGTCACAATGAAGCAATGGACATTACAACATTGTTTGCTTGCTTACGACAGCTTTGTGGTGAATCAATGCTCAATGTTGGTTGACATGGAGCCATACCCAGTCGCAACATGGTACTCAGGTTTGTTGAACATTTCAGAACAACTGGAAACATTATGAACAAGAAACCCCGCCCGCACTACAAGGAAAACATTGCACGGGTGAGAGAGGCACTGGTTAGGAGCACGGGACGGTCTGCTTGAAGACATGCAAGTGAGTTAGGGTTGAGTTGTGAATCAGTGAGAACCAAGATCACGAGCATTTGCACAGCAGTCTTTTGGTTGCTCGTAAGCTCTCACATTGAGCAGTTGAACAACCTGCATTTTGAATGGATGGAATCTTAAATCTCTCTGTAAAATGGTTCTCACTGATTCACGCCTCAACCCTAACTCACTTGCCTGTCTTCGAGCAGACAGCCCCGGGCTCCGAACCAGTGCCTCTCTCACCCTAGCAATGTTTTCCGGCGTCCTTGCAGTGCGGGCTGAGCCTGGTGGTTTCTTGCTCATAATTTTTCCGGTGGTTCTGAAATGTTCAACCCACCTGAGGACCTTATTGCGACTGGGAATGGCCACGTGTCGACCAACATTGAATTCTCGACGAAATAACCGCTGCGTTGCTATCATAGACTCACCACTCCGAACAAAGCTGCCGTGAGCAAGCAAACAATGTTGTAATGTCCACTGCTTCATTGTGACTGAATTGGCATTCCAGTGGGGGAAAAGACACCTAGCTCGTCCCCCTCCCATCACCACTTACTGTGTACTACCTGTTCTAAAAACGTCCGACTCCTGTCGGTCACCCAGTATAATTACTAGGCCAATTCCTAATTAAATAAGGAGCCAAAAGGAACAGGACACAAGACTACTGGTAGTGTCTTTTTCTCTTTCAAGTAAAGTGAAATGCAGTGTCCCCGTATTACAAATTATATATTCAATTTTCTGAATCCTGGAAAATCACAGGGGTGAGGTATTTTTTGGAATGCAATAGATGAGTTCTGCCATGAGATAAACACCTTCATGATCATGATCCCTGCCTAGACTGAAATACAATATGTATCATCAGCAAGCTTGGAAAGCTGAAGTGCAATTACTTTGTATGTAATCATACTCCAAACTTGGTGGGGTATAAGAGCTTATAAAGATTTCTTGAATAGATTTGAAGGACACAATTTAGGAAAAATGTATGTGTTATATGCAGTCTAAAATTGAATGAACAATCAAACTTGCCTGAACAGCACCAATTAAACAGATTTTATGTTTCAGAGAAGAATATCACCAAGTCGATAGCATTGAGCAGAATTTAACATACCAAATACATAAAAACCTCTGAAACATCTTTTGAGAATGTCTAAACAGACAGATTAAGAGCAGAGTACATGGTTTACAAGCAAAAATATCAAAAACCTATAGTTATCTGAAATACAGATAACGGATTCTTAAAACACCAATTTTAAAGAAGGATTCTACTTCAAAGTTTTACATGGTTAACTATGTCTTTGTCTTTTTTCTTCAGTTACACCATAGTTTTCCAGTCCTCTCATTTATAAAAGTTTAAGGAATAACAGTTCTTATTTGCAGCAATTCATTAAAAACTCTCCCTTTTATGTTTCAATACACAGCAGGAAAATGAAAGTAAGACTACAGTGATTGGTCACTATAGCGAATTATATATTTACCTCATATAGAAACACTAGGTCCCATGAGCTAGGCAGTTTTAACTACTCTTTAATTAAAAAAAGTTTATATTTAAAACAGTTTGAATATTCACAACAGCGGAATACATACAGTATGTGATATACAACACACCAAAATATAGGAAAAGAGTCTTATTTAAAAATGTAAAACAGCAAAAAGTTTTCCTGGTACACTCACAAGCTAGCATGCAAAAAAACTTGTCTCACACTAAGGTTAAAAACAGAGGTTTGGATACACGTCTTCTGCAGAAAATGTGAAAGCCGCACAGCTTATTATAATGCGGTCCTAACTCTAAACTATCAGAGTCTCCATCTTGGAGTACATGGGGCAGAGACTCTGATAGTTTAGAGTTAGGACCGCACTATAAGAGGTGCCTTGGTGCGGCTTTCACATTTTCTGCAGAAGACATGTATCCAAACCTCTGTTTTTAACCTTAGTGTGAGACAAGTTTTTTTACATGTTAGCTTGTGAGTGTACCAGGAAAACTTTTTGCTGTTTTACTGTTTAAAGCACATTACGTGTGCATCCTTGCTCTAAAGCTGGTGATGAATTGATGAGTGCGTTTATCATCTGTTTTGCTTGATTATTTAAAAATGTGACTCCAGTCAAAATGTTTTCTAAAGTTTTGTAGAGTGTAGGGAAAGCCAAGAACCTCTGTGAGGCATTTAGGGATCATTTACACCACAACAAGTTAGGTAATGCCTATTATAATGTACATTACTGTAAGATACTATAGTGCACTGTATATGTGTATTGCAATGCATTTTTAATTGCACCCCATTGCGCGTATACAGTGCATTATTATACACCACAATGCACACAGATGTGAAGATGCATTGGACAGCCTATACAAAATGAATGGACTACCTAACACAATGCACAAAAAGGGGAGTTGCTCTCAGTTTCCGTCCTCTTATTAGTTCTGTCAGTGAGTACAAATTTATAACAAAAAAACACATTTTCAGAAACATTTGAAGTTGAATAAAGACATATGTCCATCAAGTCCAACCTACTGTGTGTGTGTGTGTGTGTGTATGGGTCCCTGTGTCATCTCGTTATTAGGAGTACCTGTACCCCGGAATATTACAGTCTCTCAGGAAATCGTCCAAAAGCTTCTTGAACGATTCCACGCTATTAGCTGAAATCACTGCTTGTGGCAGTGAGTTCCAGACCCTAACCGCGTGAACTGAGAAGAAACCCCATCGCCCCTTGTGTTTGAATTTTTTTTCTACCAGTTTCAGGTGGTGTCCTCTAGTCTTTGTTATGGAATTAATTTTGAAGAGTTTGTTGCTAATGTCGCTATGACTATGGAACATTTTGTACATGAAAATCATGTCCCCCCTTAATCTCCTTACTTCCAGCGTAAACATATTTAAATTTAGTAGCCGTGTCAAACATTGTCCCTTATATGCATATTTAGATTATTTTTAACATAAATGCATACCCCCCCTCCCCTTCTCCCACCTCTGTCCCTCCTGAACAGGTTATACCCCTCTATATTGGTGGCCCAATCATGTGCGCTGTATAGCCAGGTTTCCGCTATTCCCACTATATCGAAGTTCTCCTCGAGCATCATAAGTTCAAGCTCTTCTTATTTATTAGCCAGACTTCTCGCATTGGTGTACATGCATTTAATTCCTGTCTTATGGGACAAAGGTTGAAAGGTTAGGTTCTCTTTCCTATTTGTATTGCCATTTCCCTGTTGGGAACATTTTAAGTCTTTCTTATTTTTCACCTTTCTGTCCTGGTGACACCATTACAGGAAAAAGGCAAAGAAACTCAGAGTGAACCCTGACAGGGTTGCTAAATTATCCCCTCTATCCAAATTTTTTAAAATTAGGCTACAGTTAGATGTAAATATGCATACAAAGCAGAGACTTACAGAGGCAAAACACACAGAAACCAGCATTCAAAACTTGAATCTTCTTCTAAACTAGTACAAAGCAGAGAGATGGAGATAATGCAATCAACTTGCCAGCGATAATAGTTTAAAGAACTCTTTTTTGTGAGATTGTTATTGTTTCTGAAGTGTAAATATCACTGTACAATTTCTGGGGGACAAATGCAAAACCATTTTGAACTACTGCTATAAACATCCATTGTAAATAATAGGATTCTTTTCTTGAATAAACATTTTTCTAAAAAACATTTTAAACTTTTTAACAAACCTAACTTCTTAATCAAAGAAAATAACTTTTCCTAGAGTCAGTATAGTACACATCCAAAAGTTACCATTATATGCATTTTTTTTCTGTTTCTACTTAACCATGAAAATCAGCACCTAGCTGCTTGATCAGTGTCAGGAAATCAGATCCCTCCTCACAATATTTGTTTTGCGATGATCTTTAATTGGATATGTGACTCCGCAAAAAGATTTACTCCTCTTCTGGTTCCACTATAAGAGCTAAGGCTCTGATCACTATAAACACAACGATACATCAAAATGCCCCCAAGGCGATTCTGTAAGCAGGGATACATTTGTGTACTAAACCATGGGAAAATGATGAGCCTCTTAGGCCAAATGCAACCTAAACATCTCGGATTAACTAGCACTTCTATGGGTATCAATAAGAACACTAGCGTTCAAGTAACTTTATCAACAACAGTTTTGCGAAACATAGGTGCCATTTTCTCTAATGTGACAACGTACTTTAGGACTAGTACCCTTAAGTATAAAAAAGAACCTAAGCATTCCAGAAAATAAATCCAATACCTGAACATTGATTATGAGGCTTTTTTTTTTAATGCCAGGTAGGTATGTCTGAAACAGAAAATACATTTTTTTAAAATGTTTAGGAAAAGGAAATGTTTTTCCCTTCCTAAAAAAAAAAAAATGTTTAAATTCCTGCCATTGCAATAAATTATCAATCCTTTGAAATAAAAATAAAAATATGTTAACTATATTAAATGAACAAGAGAAGAGAAAGCAGATCCAATAGCTAACCCTAACCCAAGGAAAAAAGACATTATTATTGCGGTGCCTTCTGAGAATTCCTTGGGGACAACCTTAGGACCATACACCATAGAAAGTGTCCCTAAATAACCATTACTTAACCCCAGCAATGTGATAAAGATAACCGGATAGACATCATTCTGGAAAAAAACGTCATAAATGTGTTTCCGAGGTTGGTAATTACAAAACATAAACAAGGGGATGAAACACGTTCGGAGAAAAACCAGTGTTGGCAGCATCTTGCTTTTGGGTCCGGGGACTTGGATCCACGTTGTGATCTGCCGTCCACTCCAGTCAGCAAAGTTATAAAGCAGGAAACAAGTCATGGGGGTAAAATATTTGTTGGTCCAAATGCTATCAGTGTGTTTATCAACAGACTCAATACCAGCAGAGATGGTGGGGAAGATGATGATGCTGATGAAGAAGGTGTACAATAAGCAAGCAGCCAGCACTTTGACTTTCTTCAGGATAGGGATTATTGGTGGAGAGTTTGTCTTTGAAGATGATATTTCATCTGTCACCACAGGATCTTCAGGTGTAGAAGTGTCTCTAGGCTCGTCGGGTAAATTCAAGTAATAGCTATAAAAACAAAATTAAACACGTCACAGCTTTTGCCAAAACTTTGAGAAAATTGCCAAATTAAGGAGAACTCAACAAAGTACTATATGGGGTTGATTTACTAACCTTATAAACACGAACATGTATACACCTCTGTAGTGTGTTCCCTCCCAGCATGATCTATGTGTGGAATCTGAACACCTTTGTACACCAGCAGGTGTGTTGTGCAAAGCCCTGCATGAATTGCAAGGTGATGTTGTGTAAATTAGCTCTATGTTGTGTTGCTTGCGTTGATGAATGCAGGAATGTAAATGCATGAGCTAACCATTTTTGTCTAAACTGTGAAGCAGCATTATATATGCATCATGTGCATGATTTTTCCATATATGGCATTAGTGGAAATATGCTTTTAGAGACTTTTTGGTTGATAAATACGTTTTGCTGTGTGAAAATCACACGCACCTGGTGCGTGCGTGTGTTTAGGTTAGTAAATCACTCCCTATGTGTCTGAAACAGCCACAAGGCACAAAAAAAAGAAAATAAACTAAGCTAACTAACGATTTTGTTCTAAAGGATTGTTTTGAAAACCACTACTAATGCACTCTTCAATTATATTTTCACTTTGAGTGAGTTGTTTAAGGGTTTACTTTAACAGGCTTATAAGTGCCATCCAAAATGCAGGGATTTGAATTTTAGTTCCCGTGTGGCTACTCCATTTTGAAATATCAGGGCTGTAGAGTCTTAAAAACAAAGAAAAAACATACAGCCCTTTTGTTCATTTTATAATATTGGAATTGCATCAGGACAGACATGGATACACCTAAAACTACAGGTGAAACTCGAATAATTAGAATATCGTGCAAAGTTCATTTATTTCACTAATGCAACTTAAAAGGTGAAACTAATATATGAGATAGACTCATTACATGCAAAGCAAGATAATTCAAGCCGTGATTTGTCATAATTGTGATGATTATGGCTTACAGCTCATGAAAACCCCAAATCCACAACCTCAAAAAAGTAGATTATTACATGCAATCAATAAAACAAGGATTGTACATAGAACAATATCGGACCTCTGAAAAGTACAAGCATGCATATGTACTCAGTACTTGGTTTGGGCCCCTTTTGCAGCACTTACTGCAATTACTTTTGCACGATATTCTAATTATTCGAGTTTCACCTGTATAAGAAGGGTAGAAACTGGACCAGGAACCATAGAAGGAAAATCTCTATGGTGGGGGTATTTAAAAGATATAAGAAGCTAGCACATGACTCAGCCCAGCAGACTTAGCTGAGTGAACTATACAAAACACAAAAATTCCCCAGCCTGGTACAAAAAAATGGTACATGCATGAATCTGGCAGGCTGGCTGGCAGGCTGAGGCTGGGGAATTTTTGTGGTTTGTATTGTTGTAAGCCTTCCCAATGTGCGCCCTGCTATAAAGGCCGGTTATAGATTCATGCATGTACCATTTTTTCTAGTTTGACTATTTTGGGTTAGGGGGATGCACTGGAGTTCCAGCGTGCATTTTTGGTTGCTGGGCCTCCAGTGCGTCCCTGCACCTTATCAGGAGGAGTGGGCTACCTCCAGGTACACCTGCATGTAATTTATCAACTTCATTAATATGCTCACACTTGGAGACTCGGATACATAGAGTTAGGACCACACTTTGCAGAGGTGCCTTGGCGCGGCAGTGTGGCTTCTACATATTTTTGGCCAAAAGTTTGTGTAACTAAAACCTCTGATTTTAACGCATACTGTTGACAGGGCTACTTATTTGGTTGCAGGCTGGCTGGCAGGCTGAGGCTGGGGAATTTTTGTGTTTTGTATTGTTGTAAGCCTTCCCAATGTGCGCCCTGCTATAAAGGCCAGGTATAGATTCATGCATGTACCATTTTTTCTAGTTTCTCTTTCTCTTTTTAGCTGAGTGACCCTTTAGGAAGCTTCATGAGACATGTACCTATTAACTTTAACAGTAATTACTTCAAAATAAATACTTGTTATACGCGGCTTGGCCAAATATGAACGATCCAGCTTTTGTTGCCAAATATACAAATAATTAAATTACACACAGGCAAGTGTAGACACTTGGTCAGGTGGAATCAATACCTAAATCTTTCTTCTAGCCATGTTGCGATACATCTGGTTACCAATGAAATGCTAAATTAAGCTTTCCTTACCTGGACATGTCTAGACATCAGATTTCAATTCATTTTATACCTGTCTTCTGGGATTTACATGGCCATATATAAATTTGCAGCTTTCCTGTGCCAGATCATTTTCTGCCTTTGCAGTCTCTCCTAACGTACTATGCATCTTCTTACAGAGGGAGGACGGTAGGGCTTTAATTTAGTTACAGATTTATTGCAAAGAAAAAATAATATATGAAAAATTCCAGTAATCTTCAAGTGTTCTTTAATATAAAAGGAGGAACACCAGATATTTACTCCAAAATATAAGTTCAAAGATTATATGCAAGTGTGATTTTTAGATAATGTAGTATAATGGTGAAGACTTCATGTTAAGGTTAATGCTAATTTAGAAAGTTTGATGTAAATGAACAAAACAAATTGATATTAACAGGCTTCTTGTAGTAAGTTCCCATTCATGCCTAGGCACAACACAGAGAATGCCACTATTTTCTTTGGCTCGTGTTCACACCTAAGCACTTTGTCACCTGCAGAAAAACACCTGTCACTGGAAAAAGTACACAAGCTACCTTTCTGCAGATTTCTGTGCGTTTGGTCCCACAGACCAATGAAAATACCCGGAAAAGCACAACACAAGTGGTTTTGTGGATTTTCATGTGCGTTTTTGCACGTGTGTTGGTTTACATAAATATCTCACAACCTGCCAGCTGAAAAGCGCAACTTAACGTACCGTATTTGCCGCCGTATAAGGCGACTGGGCGTATAAGACGACCCCCTATTTTTTGTTTTAAAATATAGTTTTTGAGCTATATTCGTCGTATAAGACGAGTGTAGCCCAAAATAATGTTTAAATGCACCCACTAACCTCCATGGCGGTATTCCCGAGTGTGGAACGGGGTTCATTTTCAGTACCATAAGCGGTAACCCCGAACCACACTCAGGATTACAGTCTCTTACCTTGTCCACGATCCCCGCAGTGTCCTCCATCTTCCGGGTTCCATCCTTCAGCTACATACAGTATACCGCGCTGAGCCCATCACGGCAGGCTTTGTATTCATTAATACAGGCTTTGTATTGATTAATACAAAGCCTGCGTGATTGGCTCAGCGCTGAGCCAATCACGGCAGGCTTTGTATTAATTAATACAGGCTTTGTATTCATTAATACAAAGCCTGCTGTGATTGGCTCAGCGCGGTATACTGTATGTAGCCGAAGCTACATGCAGTATACCCGGCATATAAGACGACCCCCGATTTTCGGGCAATGTTTTTGGGTCTAAAAACCTGTCTTATACGGCGGCAAATATGGTACGTACATTACACACATGGAAAAAAAAGTGCAAAACCCAAAGACAAAAATACACAATGATAAGCACAAAAATGCTGTCGCCTAGGTGTGAATGAGGACTTACAGTGGATCAATTTAGCTCCTGTGCTGACTACCACAAGCTTCCACTGAACAGTTTCAATACAAACCCACCAGCAGCAAGAGCCACTATAAAGTTCCATTGCATATAAAATAAACAAACAAACAAACACAAACAAAAAATACATACAGCTTAAAGCAAGTCAAACGAAGCCTCTAAACCGCCATAGGTATGATAGGATTTTACATGCATTCTAAATGCACAGCAAATGCACCAAAACATTTTTTTCTCAAGCTTATAGAGCTTCATGTTCACATAGTTTTTTTTCAGTAGTAATATGTGAGTGATTAGGATTATATTATTTCACTTTTATTAAACAAATACACAGTATTACACTGACAGTTTTCGCTATCAGATCGCACTGCGACCAGAATATGTTGCTTACACACTCTTTAAACATTTTTAAAGGGAGTAATTGAATAAAGAGCTGAAGGATTTAGCCGAATGTTTGGCTAATCCTTCAGCTCGCTTCTGCTGTAGGAAGAACATAAGGGCTGCTGTACGCACTATTCACAATAGCCCATACAACCGCCAAAGCACACAGCCAAGCCGAACACACATGCTTTGGCTCGACAACAGCCGAACACACAGGCAAAGTGGGGTGGACAATACCAGGAACGTCACGGGACTCATGCCACCCATTTGTTTTCATGCCATTTCATGTCAGTGAGCTGTCATGGCATGAAAACAAATGGGCGGAGCGAGTCGGGACTTCATGACTCATTCCACCCATTTGTTTACAATTGGGTAGGAGCTGTCATTTGCAGCGGCGAGAGTTCCATGCGAGCGGTCTGTCGGCTGGACTTTTTTTGTTTTCGACGAGTGCCGTTCATTGTGACTGATGCTGGATTACATTGCTGGATTACGTGATTGACCATGGACTACGTCATTGGACTATTTTTTTTTTTTTTTTACAATAAAGAAATTGTCAAAACCAGTGTTTGTGTTTTTGTTCAATTAAAGGATTTTTTTCAAAGGTGTTTGAATTAATTTGCAGAACATTTTACTTGACTCTTTGGTGAATGAGTAGGGGTAACAACTACCCTTTACTCATTCACAAGGATGGGGGAGTGGCATCTGGGTGCCCCCTTTATGAAAAAGGGTGCCCCCTTTATGAAAGGGGGTACCCAGATGCAGATAAGCCCCCTGCCCACAGACCCCTACAACCACTGGGCCAGGGTTACATCGGGGGTCCCTCCAAACATTCCTACCAGACCTAAAAGGTCTCGTATGATTTGGGAGGGGGACCTCATGCCTTTTTTATTTTTTACATGTAATTTTTCATTCTGTTTGCTACCTCTGAGGTAGGGAACAGAATGAACGAGCCGAATGTTGTGCAGCAGCATTCGGCTATTTACTCTCTGCTGTTCAGCCCCTATGAGAATAGGGGTGAAGAGTAGGGAATGAACTGCAGAAGGTTTGCCTCAGCCTATCCAGATGTT